AAAAAATCCACAGAAAAAGGTATCAATAACTACCCTGGAGATCAAGCAATAGAGCAGCTGGATTCGATAAGTCAATATACAGAGAATAAAAGCCACAAAAGTGCAGAGAGACAACCAAAATTGAGTCCAGATTAAAGCAGAATCGCAGAAGAAGAAGAAGAAGAAGAAGGAAAAAATGAGTGGACTTACTGTTTGAGGGCTTAAAGGGGAATTCGTCTACGCGGAGAGAATTATATCCACACACATACACGTACGTATCTTATATGAACATAGAATTGTATGGATTACCAGGCAAAAAACTGAAGATGAAGAACCCTAGGCGGCGATGATTATATGGAGAGAGATAGAGGGAGAAAGGAGTCATTGAAAGAGAAGAATTTCCGTGGTTTTTGGGTTTCGGCTTAAGAGAGAGAAAGTGATAGAGGGAGTGGCAGAGCAGTAGAGTTTTTCCGTCGATAGGAGAGTGAGAATTGAGAAAGAGAGAGGCAATGAATTGAAGACTGAATAGGTATTTACCTTGCACCACTTACGTGGTAACTGATTTTTTAAAACCGCACTTCTTCTTTCCTTTATTTTAAGACGATAATGGTTACTTATGATATAAAACATAATACTTGTTACATAAAATTAGTATTTTCACTCGTGCGATGCACGGAATGGAATAATTGTAATATATAAGAATATTTAAATCGATATATAATTATTTAAGCACTTATCTTTTCTGACAATTCCAAATTTAATTATTATGATTTATTCTATGTTATAATTCTTAAGTTAATATTCTTACTATTATTATTAACACTTAATTACTTTTAGATATTATTATTACCACTTATATTATTATTATATTATTATTACTATTAGTTTCTTTTCAAGTTCTGTTAGTATATAATGGTCGTGAGGCACAATAATAATATAATCATAATTAAATATTCTTGTATTGTATTCCGTGAGTCACAATAATAATATAACAAAAATTACATATTCTTCAATTCTATATTCTTCTAGGATTTCTATTACCATTATTAATTATTTCATAATTTACCATAATTAAATAATTTAACCAATTATAAAGAAAGATTATTAAATAATGCACGGGACAATTTTTTAATAAAAATTTTTAAAAATTCATTAATAAAATATAATGTTCTCATAGTTTTTTCTTAGAAATTATTTAATAAAGCATTTTTTTAAGAAATTGGTGGGCGGATAGATCTCGAAAAAATACGCGATTTCAAAAAACCATTTGTTCAAAACGGACAACCGAGTCAAAAGTTATGCCGTGCCGAAGTTTTGACACATTACAACTTAAAAAAAAAAAAAATTAATCGCCGGTTCACCCGGCGAGGTGGCCACGGAAGAGGCCGATTCCGGCCTTCATCGCCGCAGTCAGCGGCACGATTTTTGCAACACTGATACATAGTATAGATATAGATTACAATAGGAATAGTATTACACTGTTTTATAATATTAGAATAGAATTTTAACGCATATAATTATTATACGAATGAGAAAGTAGAAATCAATATATTTTATTAGAAAGTGAGATTTTTTAGGAATTGGGCGGGAAGTTAAAATTTCACAATTTTGTTATTATAGATAGTATAGATAGATAGATTGATTGATTAGAATAGGAATAGTATTACACTATTTTATAATATTAGAATAGAATTTTAACGCAGAATTATTGTATGAATGGGAAAGTAGAAATCAATATATTTTATTAGGAAGAGAGATTTTTTAGGAATTGGGTGGGAAGTTAAAATTTCAGGATTTTGTTATTATATATAGTATAGATAGATAGATTGATTGATTACAATAGGAATTGTATTACACTATTTTATAATATTAGAATAGAATTTTAACGCAGAATTATTGTACAAACGGGAAAGTAGAAATCAATATATTTTATTAGGAAGAGAGATTTCTTAGGAATTGGGCGGGAAGTTAAAATTTCAGGATTTTGTTATTATATATATAGTGTATATATAGTGTATATAGTATAGTATAGATAGATAGATAGTATAGATAGATAGATTTAACATCAATTTAAAATAAATAAATAATTACTTATAATAGATATTGTTATATACTAGTATTTGCACCCGTGCGATGCACGGCCATAAATAATAATAATAATAATAATAATAATAATAATCCTTTATATAATAAAGCTATATGGTTTGGGAAATAATTAATGTTACAATTAATGCCACAACATCCTTTATTAAAAAACAAAAAAAAAAAAAGAGCACAACATTTAAAAAATAAAATAGCTATATATTATATAATCATATAAAAAATATACTTTTGAAAAATAAAATAGCTATATATTATATAATCATATAAAAAATGTGTTCAATTAGAGTTTAAATTTACACATACAAAATTTAAAATTTGCTTTCCAAATGTAATTATCTTAGTTATTATTCGTATTGTGAAAATTATAATATAGATGAAATACAATTAAGAATAAATCAATGTAATTATGTAAATTCTCTCTATAAGTTTATTTGAATATGCACATAATTAGAGATTATATTAACTATACAAAATTATAATTTTAATATTAATTTTAATTTTGTATTCTATAAAAATAATAAATACTTGACCAATGGAAGCTCAAAAATATTATTATATTAAATAATTTAAAATATTTTAGTTTTTCTATTTTTTATTTATATGTATAATAACATAATTTTTTCTCGTGCATCGCGCGGGTGAATTACTAGTTAAACAATATAACATAATAATAAAAAATAAGAAAATATGTACAGTGAAAAATTATTAAATAATAATTAATATTGAAATTGTATTACACATTATTGAAAATTTCTATACGAAATTTTTAGTTGTACTCATAAATTTCATTATCTCCACAAATCAAAATTTTTTATTTTATTTTTGTTTTGTTTTTTGAAAACAACATAAATCAAAATTTCTAATCCCCTTAGATTACTTATTCTAAAAAGTGCTGCGTACATTTGACCTTTATTAAAGACAAACTTTTTCAAAAACAAATTCACATGCGATACAGAAAATTTGTTGTATATAGTACAAAAAGTATATAAATTTAATTCAAAAAAAGTTTATACAATAATGCTAAATATATTATAAAAATATATGAATTTAATTCATATTATTTTTTCAATTTAGAAAAAACTTAACCAATAAATAGAAATTATATATATATATATATATATATATATATATATATATATATATATGTGTGTGTGTGTGTGTGTGTGTGTGTGTGTGTGTGTGTGTGTGTGTGTGTGTGTGTGTATATTATAAATTAAAAAATATAAAAATAAATCAATATAAATGTTATTTCATAATATTTAATAACTAAATATATTACTTAATATAATAAATTATTGGTCATAGTTTCATTTTTTAAAAAATAAATAATCAACCCAAAACTAATCCAATAATGCATCCCATAACCTGAACTCAATAAAATCATATATAAATGAGTTGATGTTGTTTGATTTTTTTCATTTTATGAGAAGATAATCCCATAACATGTACACAGGAAAAAAAAAAAAAGAAGTTAAACATTAAATAATTGCATAAATATTAATCAAATGGTTTGTAACCACAAATAGAGGTATATATATATATATATATATATATATATATATATATATATATAATACACTTTGTATATATAATATATATCTAAAAACATAAAGAAACAATTAAACTCTGAGATGTATACTGTGGTAGGAATGGAAACGCTCTCTGAACAACGATCGGAAGAAGATCGCGATCTGCTCGAGCGGAGCACGAAGAAGCACAAACGAATGGACGATGTGGTGGAGTCTCATGCAGAGGACGCGATGGAGATGGCGCAGGCGGATATCGACGTCGTACGGGAGACTCCGCTAGCGGAGATGGGGGAAGCCAATGCATCGACGCGCATGCAGGTTTCACAAGTGAATTTAAATATGGCTGTTCTGACTCCTAGCATGTCGCAGGTACCGGCGAATCCATCACGGACATACGCTCAAAGCGTTACAGGTCAGTATCCTCAAGGGATGCATGATGCAGCGGCAGATTCTGAGGATGACACCGAGGTGGAATCAGACGATGAGGATGATGATCCTTTGTGTCCAACCATCCGATTGACTAAGCAGGAGGTAGCGCAGATAAGGGCTCCGTGGAAGAACGCTGTCATCATTAAGGTCCTCGGCAGGAATGTCGGATATGCCTACCTGCTGCGACGCATAACCGCCATGTGGAAGCCTCAAGGAAGCATGGATATGGTTGCTATTGATAATGGATATTTCATCGTTAGATTTGGATCGTTGGAGGACATGGCTTTCGCCATGTACGAGGGACCATGGATCATACTAGATCACTACCTGATTGTCAAGCCCTGGGTTCCAGATTTTGATCCTTTTTCGGATGTTACAGAGAAGGTGGTGGTGTGGGTCCGGATTCCATGTCTGCCAGCGGAATATTACAGCATAATCTTTTTACGCAAGCTGGGGAACAAGGTAGGGAGAACCCTCCGAGTCAACCGGGCCACAAGCAGTTTTTCTCGAGGTATGTTCGCGAGGATTTGTATCGAGGTTGACATCACGAAGCCGCTGATCTCCAAGTTTAAATATAAAGGGCGTGTTCGGTCTGTTGCTTACGAAGGCATACATATGATTTGCTTTGCGTGTGGGATCTATGGACACGCGCCGGAGGCCTGCCCCAAAAAGACCAGAACAGCGTCGGAATCTGGTGATGAACGGGCCATTGCAGCAGAGGGCCAGTCTAAGGAGAACAATCAGAATAATGCTCAGCGGGGAGTCCAGGTAGGCGCAGAACCTTTCGGGGAATGGATGATTGCTCCAGGCCGTAGATAGCGGCCGACGGCTCGACGCGCAGATCGGCCTCTGAAATCCGGGGGAGGCAAGGAGTTACCACGCGGCAGCGCACACGGCGGCAGGGCTCAGGCCTCCAGATTTGCGGCGCTGGCAGTGAATGTAGCCGAGATTGATGACGGGATGGCTGAGGAATGGGATGGGCAAGAGGAGGCAGCACCGGGACAAGCTATAACTCCCCAGGTGGGGTTGGCGGTTGAAGGTCGACCGAGGAGACCCAACGTGGTGGTGAATGAAAAGCAAATCGCGAATGACCCGCCTGGAGTGCGCACAACACAGAACAATGGCTTAGAGGCATCCACGAGTGTCAGACGAGCTGGGGGATCGGGACCACGACGAGCGGCAGAAGAAGATGAGCACATGGTGGTCCGCGGCAAGCAAGGTGGAATGGTTATTCAGGCATCACGGGTGTTCAGTGGGGGAGAAACAGGAGATGTACCGTCACCTGTCTGGCAACCCACCAAGGAACACCACTCCGATCCGCGGAGATTGTGGATGCGGAAGGTGATGCGGTCATGGAACTTGATGGAATGCCAGCGCATGAGGATGAAGTGGGGGCCGACGCCCCTCACTGAGTGTTTGCTTCTTGCTGTGTTTCGGCTTTTCGGCTTTTCTTTGGTTTTTCTATCTTTATGCTTCTTTTCCTTTATCTTATGGATCTGCTACTCTGGAACTGCCAAGGGGCGAGTGGACGGTCTTTCCACCGCGCCCTTAAACACCTTCTCCAGGAATATAAGCCCAATATTTTGGGCATCTTTGAGCCAAAAGTGTCTGGCCACCAGGCTAACACGATTTGCTCGAAGCTTGGGTTCTCGGACTGGGTTCGTGTTGAAGCCGTTGGTTTTAGCGATGGTATTTGGGTCTTTTGGAAGGACCCGGTACACGTGTCTATTCTATACACTCACCCTCAGTTCTTGCTTTTACAGGTGACGCAGTTTGGTTACCCACCGTGGGTATTCGCGCCTGTTTACGGGAGTCCGACTCACCACTTACGACGTCGGCTGTGGAGGGAACTGTCACAATCTAAGCGGGGCGTGTCTGGTTCATGGCTCGTAGCTGGAGACTTTAACTCAGTCACTTCGAAGGAGGAAACTAGTAACTACATATCCTTTTCCACCCAACGAAGCTCGGATTTCGTCACTTGGATTCAGGACGAATGCCTTATTGACCTGGGTTTCTCGGGGCCCAAGCTTACGTGGGTGAAAGATGGGTCAACTGCTGCCTACAAAGGGGCCCGTCTCGATCGGGCCCTATGCAATTTGGATTGGCGTATCCGTTTTCCGGAAGCATCTGTCGTACACCTACCCCGAATAGCATCTGACCATGCACCCCTTCTGGTAAGATTACAAGGAGGCCGACAGCACTCTCATAATAAGCATTTTCTTTTTCAGGCTGCTTGGCTGACACATGAAGATTTAGGCAAGACGGTTCAGCGCCTTTGGAGTGCCGATCAAAATCTCCTGGCAAATGTTGAACAGGTAGCCACAGGTCTTTCAGCGTGGAACAGGGAGGTCTTCGGGAATATACACAAACGAAAGAAGATTATCATGTCACGCTTAAGCGGCATTCAAAAAGTTCTGGCCGAAAACATGCATAGAGGCTTGTTCAAGTTGGAACAAAAGCTGCGACTAGAGCTGGAAGAGATTTTGTACCAGGAGGAACTGATGTGGTTCCAGAAGTCCAGAGAGGAATGGATTACGTCGGGGGATAGAAACACGGCGTATTACCATGCTGCAGCCACGGTCCGCCGAGGGCGGAACAGGGTTGCAAGACTCCAAGATAGTAATGGCGCATGGATTACGACTGATTCCGAGCTGAGAAAGCATATTCAGCAATTTTATATTAATTTGTTTACTGATTGCAGGGAGGGGGCGGAAGGCCAACCTTTAGAAGCACACTTTCCTCGGCTTAGACACATTGACTGGGCTGTCTTTAATAGGGAAGTGACAAAGGAAGAAGTGCACGAGGCTGTTTGTGATATGAAACCTTTTAAAGCTCCGGGACCAGACGGTCTTCCCGCAGGCTTCTACCAACACACGTGGGACGTGACTGGGGATAACATATTTGCGATGGTCTCTCAGGCTTTCAGACACGGCCAGATACCGGAAGGCATCAACGACACCCTTGTGGCTCTCATTCCTAAAGTGCAGGTCCCGGATACTATCAAACAATTTCGCCCCATAAGCCTCTGCAACGTCAGCTACAAGATCCTCACCAAAACCATTACGAACAGGCTGAAAAGTATTTTACCACGGATGGTAGTTCCGTTCCAGAGCTCTTTCGTCCCAGGTAGACAAATTTCTGACAATGTGATCATGTACCAAGAAATCCTCCACACCATGCGGGAGTCAAGGGGAAACAAGAAATACATGGCCATCAAACTGGATCTAGAAAAGGCGTACGACCGGCTCTCGTGGGATTTCATCAAGGACACTCTTGAGCACGCGGGCTTCAATGAACGGTGGAGGGACATTATTATGACATGCATCACTACTCCGAGGCTTGCTATCATCTGGAACGGTGATAGACTGGAGCCTTTCAGGCCGGAAAGGGGCATTCGCCAAGGGGACGCCATGTCTCCTGCGATATTTGTGTTATGTATGGAACGGCTAAGTCAATTGATCACTGCGGAGGTTGATAGCCTCAGGTGGAAAGGCATTAAACTGGCCGCCTCCGGCCCTACTATGTCGCATCTCTGCTTCGCGGATGACATGGTTCTGTTCACAGAAGCTACTTCAGACCAAGTGGAGATCGTCCAAAATTGTTTAGCTGTGTTTTGTGCGGCCTCCGAGCAAAAAGTCAGCCTCGACAAGTCCCAGATATATTTCTCTAAGAACATGGCGCCAGCTCTTGGAACCGGGATAGCAAGCAAGTTTGGCATCTCTGAGACCAAAGATTTGGGGCGGTATCTTGGTGTGCCTTCTATTCATGGGAGGGTCACATGTCATACATATGACGGACTCCTCGAGCGTATTGCGACTCGGCTTGAGGGATGGAAGGCTAAGACTTTATCCTTAGCAGGAAGAGTGACTTTGGCAAAGTCCGTACTCAATGCTATTCCTGTCTACACTATGCAGACTGCGGCTCTGCCCAAGGGCATTTGTGAAGAAATTGAGAAGAGAACTCGTCGTTTCATTTGGGGCAAAAATGAGCACATCGGAGGTGATAAAATGAGTCTTGCAAGCTGGGATTTGGTGACGAAACCGAAAGAAGCGGGGGGTCTTGGACTGCACCGTTTGCACGACATGAATATTGCTTGTATGGTTAAATTAGGATGGCGATTACGCACCAACTCTAATTCTCTTTGGGCCCAGGTAATTATGTCTAAATACGGCAGTTTGGAGCATGCAGCAGGCAGACGCAAAAGGTCAAATGTCTGGAAAGGAATAACCATGGCGAAGGAAGTCCTCGACAATGGCATCACACATCTCGTCCGGGATGGCAGTGCTACCCAGTTTTGGATGGATAAGTGGATTACGCCTAGACCTCTTTATGACCAGCTCCAGATCCCTTTGGGTCTACCTGATCTCTACGCGACTGTGAGCGCATACTGGGATCAGGACCGTGGATGGAAGTGGGAGAAGTTAGCCGATACGTTACCACAGGAAACTTTGGAGCGTATTGCAGGATACAGGCTGACGGAGGAAGGCATCTCGGATGAATGGGGATGGGGACCGGGCCACCGGGGGCACTTCTCAGTCAAGTCGGCGTATGATTTCATCACCAATTCACCCGTGGACGCAGCAGATACGGATTGGAAAAGACTTTGGGCTCTCCGAGTACCCGCTCGAGTTTCGATGTTTCTATGGCTTGTGAAGCATGGGAGAATTCTTACAAATGCAGAACGCGCAAGGCGACATCTTACTTCTAATGATTTTTGTTTTCGTTGTGCAGGGAAGCGCGAGGATATGGACCACATCTTCCGTGAATGCCCAGCAGCGCGGCAGATTTGGAGCCTGAGTCTCCATACGCAAATGGTCGAAAAGTTGAGAACTCTAAGCTGGCAGGAATGGTTTACGGTGAACCTGCATGGCGCCGCGACGCATGGTTTCGACGATGGATGGCCTGAACGGTTCGGGAACAGACTCTGGTGGCTTTGGCACTGGCGAAACGATGAAGTGTTTAATCATCATCACATCTCAGTCGAGCAAAAGATTGATTGGCTCCGTAGATACGATGCCGAGGTGGCCGGAGCGTTCGCGAAGAAAAGGCGTCCTCTCAATAGGAAGCCTATGACCGTGGAGACCAGTGTGGCTTCGAGGAAACCGCCAAGCGATTGGGTAAAAATCAATGTTGACGGAAGCTGTCGGAGGAACAAAATTGCAAGCTGTGGCGGTGCTCTTCGTAATGACCGTGGTGATTGGCTTTGTGGATTTACATATAAGATAGGACGATGCTCGATCGAAGTTGCAGAAGCATGGGGCGTTTTGCACGGTCTCTGCATGGCAAGGCATTGGGGAGCAACCAAGATCATTCTTGAATGTGATTCCAAGTCCACAATTGAAAGCCTGCGCAGGAAAAAGGATTGGCACGGACAAGTTGACAATATTGGCAGGCTGTGTTTAAGTATGGCAACTCAATTCTCAGAGGTTCGATTCGAGCATATTTACAGAGAACAAAACCAATTGGCTGATAGCTTGGCTACTATGGTGAACGAGGATCAACAGGGGTTACAGATTTTTGAAGAGCCACCCCCGATGCTTGCGAGTGTGATTGAAATGGACAAGATTGGAGCCTCCTTAACGCGGCGCGTTCTTCAAGTCCCCCAATCGGATGTGTAGCTTTGTTTTTTTGGGTATCCCCCTCAGTTCAGAAGAAAAAAAAATATATCTAAAAACATAATAAGTTTCAATACAAGTTATGTCCTTGATTTTTGTCCTTTTTTTATATGCTAATAAATATATACATTTTGCTTTAATTGTTGTACATTCATTTGCATTGGACAAAATCACCCTTACACCGTTATAACACCGTTAGTTTTTAATATATCTACCAATCTTACCATACACCTACATCTATCATATATTTTTCCTATTTTTAATTATTATTTTATTAAAATTATCATATAACAATTAATTTAATTATAAATTTTATTTTAATTAAATATTTATATGAATGTTAAATTATATATGTGTATCATATATATATATATATATATATATATATATATATATATATATATATATATATATATAAATATATTATTTGTGTATCCATATCAATATATCATATATGTGAGTGTTAGCTTAGTATTATTTGTAAATTATTATTATATAAAAATATAATTTTTTTTTTTTGTTTTGATCACTATTCAAATATATGATAATTCAAAAATATCATCACTTTAAAAAATTGCAAAACATAATTTTAACCAATTTTTTAAATTTTGTTACTTACAAATATTTTAATATTGGGCATAAGTTTTCGCGCATCGCGCGTACAAAATGCTAGTTAGTCTAATACGTGTCAATTGTAAATGGTTTAATCTACTTCTAAGTGTAATCAGCATATGAATGCTAATATATTTATTAAAATAAAAAATAATAATAAAGGAAAGTTCTAGAACATGGAATGGACAGTCTGGGCAGAGCTTGAGTGCTTCTTCTCTCTATCTCCTCTAGCCTGCTCGTCTTCTCTCGATCTTGCTCTCTATAGCTACCATTTCTTTGAAATTGCATGCCCACTATGAAAACATCACTAATCTGCTCCGATTACTGAACTACAGCTAATTTGGAAGTGAATTCGAAGGCAGGTATATATTTTCTTCTATGTATAATCTGACAATCATATTGTGTATCTTTGTAATTCGTGTAATTTATTAGTTTATCTCTATGAATTTCTTTACTCTAAAACCACCAACACACTACACACTGATTATGTTTAACGAACTTACCCCCAAAATAGCTTAATCATAGATCTAGGGTTTTATATTCTCCTGATTCATATGCATGTTTTGGTAACCTTCATTATTTGACTTTTATCTACTTGCTTTGTGATTATCAGTGTGTTATTGATTGTTATAGATCTATGGTTGTTTCTTTCTTCTAGTCTTTTCCTAATATTTTTTCTAAATGTGTGTTTTTTTTACAGATTGCATAGGAATTCAACAATTAAACACATTCGTCACAATAAAGATAAGTATTCTAGTTAATTTAGTAGAACTCTTGTTTTTACAGTCCCTTATTTTCCTAAAAATATTTCAAACTAATCATATTTTTCAGATATTGATTGTATATTCTATTATTAATTAGAACAGAATATTGAATCGTATGTCGAAACGGTTATTTAACTTTTGTTGGATTTATATGGTTGAAGAAACAGACTTGTTATATAGCTGCTTTGAAATTATAAATCTTTATACTATTTCATTATTTATATACTAACATTTTTTTTTCCAGAAAATGACATGTGATGAAAATATTTTCTGATGCCTATACTTCACTAAATTCATAAAACATTTAAGATCTTTTTAATGTGAGGCTGGAAATTTGTGTGTGTGTGTGTGTGTCAATATGAAGGAAGTATCCACTTTATTTGTTAATTTGTGGCATTGATGATAACAGTTAAGCTTCTAAATATCATTGATTGATAGAGCTGTTGTTTTTTCTGAGTCACTTTAATGTCACTTTTTTTTTTTTTTTTACATATTTAATTTTTTGTTAATTTAGTGATATTTATCTTTGTTTCTTAATTTTGAGTTTTAAGTATAGTCTTTATGTTTTCAAAGTATATAGCCTTATTTCATTGATAGAGATGTTTTTTTTTTTTTTTTTTTTTTCTGAGCAAATTGTTTTTTTTTTTTTTTTTTTTTTTTACATAATAAGTTTTTTTTTTTTTTTAATTTTGTTTGTTTCTTGATTTTGAGTTTTAAGTAGGCAAGTGATTTTCATGTTAGCTTTCTTCCCTATTTGCCTTATTTCTTTGGATTTTGACATGCCTTTATGTGTCCACTTGCAAACTGTGTCTGATCTCTTGGGTTAAATGTAAGTAGAAATTTCTGAGTGTTCTTTACTTTGGTCTCTCATTTACTTCAATTCTGAGTGTTCTTTACTTTGGTATCTTATTTAATTCATTTTGATTTTTCTTTGTTTTTATAATTACTTATCTACAAATACTGTTTCTTGAGTGTTGACGAAGAAGAAATGACAGAAGAAATGATTTCGTATTTTCTGAGTGTTCTTTACTTTGGTGTCTTATTTACTTCATTTTGATTTTTCTTTCGTTTTATGATTACTTAGCTACAAATAATGTTTCTTGAGTGTTAACAAAGAAGAAAGGACAGAAGAGGACAGAACTAAAGACACAAAATGTTGATGACATTGGATAAATGTAAGCATTTCTGAACCTTATGAATTTATTTGGTTGATTTCAGTAATACTACATTATGGTTTACCTGATGTGCATGATCAAATATTATATCACATACTTACAAAGAGTTGTGTGTACTTTTTTGTGTGTGTTCTATATTGATGTTACTACTTAATCAATAAGTTAGTATTGATCAAACTGCCATGTAAGTAGCATTTATACTTATACTTGAAATTCGATATTTCCTTATGGTATCCTAAGTCTGTAGACTTAGCAATCTGGAGAATACATTTTCTGCAGAGTTTTTAAATCATGCCCACATGTCTTACATTGCAAAGATCTTTGTGGATAAAGATTAGGTTCAACTTCTTCCATTGATAGCTTGACTGCCAGTTTGATTCAATCTTCAACCTTCAATCTTGATCTTGATTAGGACACCATTTTAGACTTGAATCTCTTGACTCCTTGAAAAATAAAATAAAATAATAATAATAATAATAATAATAATAATAAATACACAAATTCTACAAACAGTGTATAAAAAAGTCAACCTATTATTACCACCTAGCATAGCTACTATTAACTGAAAAGAATATAAAACTTTCATTTACTGATCTAGCATGTCTTTGATTTTTTGGGTTCAAGTAACGTATTCTTCGCAGGCGGGTGATATAAAAACTACGGTATTGCTATGATTGTTGAGTTTAAAATCTGTTTTGTCCATAAAGTTGTACTTACCTAGGGTTTTCCTAGAGTACATTTATGAACTAATTTATTTTTCGGATTACTTCATCTAGGGCTTCATATCTATTTTATTTAGGGTATATGATGGACAATTTAATTAAGTCCTCGCAAGTGCACGAGTCAATTGTAGTAGTAGCGTGCAATAGCAAGGGTCGAACCCACATGGAATTGATAGATGCAATTTAATTACTTGAAAGCGAAGGAAGAGAAACTTTAACATAAATTTTAATTGCAGTAAATTAACAAAAACTAAATGATTAAGGCACTAGAATCAAATAATATCAATAATTAAGATCATGATAAACTTAAATGCAAAGTAATAGAATCAAAATGTAACTTGACAATTTAAAGTACTGAAATCAAATGCTAAAGATAAAGATGAACTCGAATACAAAATAATTAAGTCAAACTAAAAAAAAACTAAGCAAATAAATTACCAAGAAGCAAGAAAAATCAAATAACAATTAACTTCTAAAAGCCTAAGAACATGAGGATTAACAAATCATTAAGCAAGACAATTAAGAACTCATTATGATCTACAAACAATAAATAACATAAGATATCAATATTTTAACTCAACACTAAGCATGGTAATTAGCTTTGTACTTAAAGGAAATTGGAAATTGAAATTGAAATTCCCACTAACAATCAAACAAAGTGAATGTGAATTAAATAAGAAAAAGAACCAGAATGATTAAGTTGCTGCTGACAAAAAACATGACGTAATGCCCAAGAATTAATTTGTTGTTGTTCGCAGATTCTTCGCCTCCCAGAATTGAGAAAAAGCTGCCGCCTCCGATTCTGCACCGCCACGGGAATTAGTCCGGGGCAAAAACTGACTCAATTACTCTCGTTCTATTCTCACCTCCGGAATTGATCCGGGGTAAAGTCCATGATGATTTCTTCTTCGAATTGGCCTCAATTTATACTGCTCTCTCCCCCAAATTCTTCCGCAATTCTGCCATAAATTGCTATGTATTTCTTGGTTCAATTACGCAGAAGAACTCGAGCCACACACCATCATGCCTGTTGTTCAATCGGATCGCTTGAAGCTTTGCTCTGTGTTTCGTCCGCCTCTCTCTCGTTGATCGGCTTCTGTTGAATCAGCACCGCACAAAGAGCTTTGACTGAAGAATTATTATTTTTTACTTAAATAAAATAAATTAGAACCCAATAAAATTCTACAATTATTAGAACTCCATATTGACCAAGTATAACTAAACTACTATTACTACTACTACTACTACTACTACTACTATTATTATTATTATTATTATTATTATTATTATGGAATTATTAGATTGTCAGAATTCAAATAATAGGACAACTTTAATAATTAAAACAACCTAAAATTGAATAACATTACTAAAAACTAATTATAGCAATAATAAATAAAAATAGATAAGAATTAATTAATTATTTGCAACTTAACTATAAAAAGATTATCTAAAATAACAACAAAAATAATGTTTATCAGTATAAATTTTCTATCAATTGTTTTGCTCAACAACGCTACTCATCCAGAATTTCATTTATATGTTAATTTGCTAGATCTAGAGTTTCTAATGTTCAGTCTAATACTCTAGAACTCAAACAATTCTGTCAATTTTGCTATCTAAAACAGTTTAAATCGGTTATGTTGTCCATTTCTAAGTGATCTAGGAGTTTCATTATCTAGTACGATTACTCTCTACTATCATTTTACCAATCTAAAATGGGTATACACTATTGTAAATAACTATTGTGTTCTTCTGGCTATGAGTCTCTGTTTTACGGACTACGGTACTTAACACCATATTTTTCACACCTAATAGATGTATTTAACTATAAAATCATCTTAAAATCATAAAGTGTACATACTTTTTTCAAACTATTGAGAAAAGGCTTTTAGTTGGTCTTGTAAGTTGCTTCATTCTTCTCAGATGCAGTTTTTATACAATCTGTATCACTTATTAAGCTTCATTCTTCTCATATGCAGTTTTATACAAACAGTGTCACTTATTAAAATAGTGACTCATATCTGTACTACACTTTAATTTCTACAGCTAATTATGATAGTTAATTTTATTCACCATTGCCACTGTACAATGAGACTTTCTGTTCTTTTTTATTAATTGCATTGTGTGTCTATCTCAGATGAAATTGTATTCTGATGCTATCTACATAATGCAACCTAATTGTTGTCCTCAATGCTATAGAATATCATCAATGCTATATATATATATATATATATATATATATATATATATATATATATATATATATATATATATATATATATATATATATATATATGTTATTTACAGAATGCAAATTGTTTTACATCTCTTACATTCTGTTAGTTTTTGAATTTAACTATCATCTCTTTAATGTTTTGGCTATTGATTAAGTTTTAAAAGTTTACTATCCCCCTAATACTTTTTCTGTTTTGTTAGATTCAAATCGAAAAATTGAAAAACAACAATTTGAACTTGTGTGTGTCCTTGAATATATTAAAAACACATTATAATTTATTTACTATTTATATACTATTATAATTTATTTTTGAATGAACTATTGCAGGTGGAGGAACAGGGAGGTCAACAACACTATAAGACTAAAATACAGAATCAGTGTTAAAAATTGTAAGTTTAATTTATACATGCATAGTATACAATTTTTTATTTTTTTTTTGCTTATGTAACATTAAAACCAAAATCAGATCCAAGCACACGGAAAATCCAACTTTTTTTCAAATTCTTTTTCAATTTATACACTTTATATCCATTTAATTACATTGTATACAAATACTCCATTTTTTGGACATTCTAAACTCACAAATCCTTCAAAAAACAATTCATCTATAGCTTCTTCATGACCTGCAGTTATCCAATACAACTTTTTGTAAAATATAAAAATGAAATGAGCAGAAAAAATAGTTGCATCAATGCTCAATATATGCCATCCTTGTCACTGTATATTTAATTTTTCACTTTAGATCATAAACTATTCAAATATTTTAATTTGTAATTTTTTACACTTTAAATTCATGGATGGGTTTTAGATTGAAATGCAAATTGTGAGAATTACATATTTGTTGGCTGTCTTGTTCATACTTTTTTTTTTTTTTTACAATCATTGAGATTTGAAGGCAGCCCTAAAATCATTAAATCACACAGCAAGGATATTACCTGGAACACATCACACAGCAGACCTATTAGTAAGGGGCGAAATATCCTCTTCATTAAGCACCATGGCTTTTGTAAGTGTATACCTTTCCCATCTCCTTGTGCATCTGCTCCTTCATCTCCTCAGTATCATCCTCCACAGAAACCAATAGTCTAATATTGGAAATTAGATAAAGAAATAGAAAAGAAACCAAACATGAATACATGAATATATAGTAGTAATTGAACAAAAAAAAAAACTGAATAATTAGTAGATAATATAGGTGAGAATAGAAATGTTTCCAGAAAACTATGCTACCAATTTTGTCTGTCCACATGCATAATCCAGAAAAAATCTCAATACAATTGTCAAAAAAAAAAAAAAAAACAGATGTGCAGGTGTTCTCACTGTAATCTTCAAGCAAACTCTGTTTTATCAATACTGCGATGGCAGGTGGCAGGTGTTCTCACCGTAAACTTCAAGCAACTGTGTTTAATCGATACTGAGATGACAAGGGAGCTTTATATAGAGGCTGAAATTTGTTTTTCAATTTTGAATATTGTCTTGGAACTATGAATGCTGCTTGAAACGTTTCAAGACCCAAGATTACATTCAATAGATTATTTTTTCGAAGCATTTTCTCGTATATAGATGTGTAATAGCTGTATGTGTATATCTGTATCTTTATATATGTAAATAAATGTAGATTATAGATTAGCTTCTCAATGTAATTAGAACTCTTTGACTATTAGAAGTCTTTATTTACATCGGTAATAGACTATTAGCCACAATTAATTCGACTGTTGAGTTATCTTATTAAAACGACGTCGGTTAGTGTGGGCGGGAAAATGTTTTAGACCAAAAGTTACTGCTTTATTATAATGATAGATATGTATGTGTGTATGTGTGAACTTGTAATACTATTTAGGGTAAAATGATTGTTACTAATCATAAACATTATAATACTTATTATGTGAAATGTTATTTATAAAATAAATTGTATAAAAATTTAATACCAATTTAAATAAATTGAAAATAAATCGTTATTTAAGATAGATAATTAGATATTGTAATACTTATATGTGAGATGGTGATACTAGTATGGTAAAATTGATTGTTTTTTTTTAATCGCATATTATTAACTTAGTAAATATTGAATACAAATTAAAACGGAGGGGTATCATCCCAAGTATGGCGGTCAAATTGATAGCAAGTGTCCCTAACAAAGGCATGGACCAGCTGGTTCGATAAACAAGGATAAAATGACAAATAAAATTATGAAAGAAGCTAAGTAAACCATTACATTGCACTATGATAGGACCAGTAGGCAACTATACTAATTCTTATGTCTTCCATGAAGTTGGGCCCTAAACCTATGGAAGGCAACACAAAACTTGGGATTTGTGATCCCATGTAAGATCGGTTAAGGATCACGGGACCATTTGTAATTGCCCTATAGATCCTATGGGCATGTTTGATTAATGGCAAGTCCGCCAATTTTTTGACAGATCCATCATCTTTGACGTTTTGACCATGGTCAAAACGCCAAATACCATGTTTGGTTAACCAGCGGTTTGCTCCAAACTGCTGGAATCCCAAACGCTGCTTGGAGCAGCGTTTGGGATTGGCGTTTTGGGGAAAGAAATTTCTTTCTCCAAAACGCCCCCAATTATAAATTTTTAAAAAAAAAAAAAAAAAAAAACAAGCAAGGCGAGGAGCAAAACTCCTCAAGTCTGAGTGCCTGACCATCCAAATTCCATTCCATTAATTAATAACAACTAAACATTTGAGACTTGAGGCTCATTTATATAAGGGAGTGTTTGGTTGGATGTAATTTGGGTGTATTGAATTGCAATTCTGTGGAAGGTCCACCGAATTACAATTCCCTCCAAATGTTGAATTCTAATTCAGACCCCCCCCCCCCCCCACCTCCCTCCCCTCCCCTCCCCTATGAATTACAATCCGTTGTTTTGATGGAAGAAAAAAAGGTAGTGTGAATATCATTTTACCATCTAATATTATTTTGTCTTATTTTTGAAAACAACAGAAACTTCATTAAGATGTAAACAAACCAGCGATACAAAGTGGTGGGGACTGTTAAAGTAGCCCATGTTAGGAGAACAGCGAATCGTGTGGCTTATTTTGTCTTATTAGTTATCCTTCCTTCTTTGTTCCTTGTTTCTTCCCCATTCATCCTTCTTTCCTTTCTTTTTTCTTTTCCCTTCCTTATTCTTTCGGCATGTCCTTGTTTCTTCCCTGTTCTTTTTTCTTTCCTTTTTGTTTTCCTTATTCTTTTGTCATGTTACCTTTCTACACATTTAAGTATGGTATGCGGTGGGGTGAGGCGGTGTATTGGGAATGGAATTTCTACCTTGATATGGGAACACCCGTGGCTGCATGATGACTTAGATCCTATGGTTCATACGGAGATGCCACCCCAATTGGCTGGTGCTAAGGTGGCAGGATTGATAGACCAGGATACTGGGACTTGGGACTTGGGACCCTCATATTGTAGCTGATATCTTCCAGCCAAGTGATGTGCCTAGAATTTTAAAGATACCAATTTCTCCAGGATATGATGATATATGGTATTGGCATGGGGACCTAAAGGATGCTACTCTGTTAAGAATGGCTACTGGAAAATTATTGGGAATTATAGTGGCAGTGATAATGTGGGATTTGATAAATGGCTTATCCTATGGAAGTTAAAAATCCCCCAAAATGGAAGACTTTTTTTATGGAAAGCTATAAGTGATATCCTTCCCACTACCACCAACTTGCTTATAAAGAGGGTGGATGTTGATCCAACTTGTGCCATGTGTGGAATCATGCAAGAGGACACTATGCACTCATTAGTATTGTGTGGTTATGCAAACTCCATATGGGCTCGATCTAACCTCCCAATCCCTAATGTTGTGACAAATGTTTTCCATGAGTGGTTTAGTGCATGTTTGGATGTTCTAGACACTAATGGAATTATATATGCAGCTGCAATTCTATATTACATCTGGAGAGAATGGAATGGAGCGGTTTGGGATGCCTGTCTACCGCTGCCCGGAAAGCTAATAATTATGGCGGTCAACAACATGCAATCATGGACTGCCGCGACCTATTCTGCCGGTAGACGCTGCTACCTCGGCGACTGCCACAGTGGACCCGGCTGCTGCATGACCAAGGAAATGTTATGTGGATGCCGGTTTTCACCGCTCCAGAAAATCTGCCACGGTGGGTGCAGTTTTACTCGACGAGGATGGAAGTTACATCGCGGCATACATCGCCCCCTTGCCAAATTGTTTTCCCCCACTTATGGCCGAAGCTTTTGCGTGCAAAGAAGTGTTATCATGGCTACGAGAGCGTGGTGAACAAGCCATCCAACTCTACACCGACTGTCATACGTTGAAGTGCTATTTATCCTCATCAGGGGCTCCGCCCCGATCATATATTGGATATGCTATTGATAGCTGCAAAGCTTGCATGTCTACTTTCTTTACCTGCTCGATTAATTTTGTTTCTAGATCTCAGAATTTATTAGCTCATACTTTAGCATCCGCAGCTTTTGATCATTCTACGGTTATGTATTGGGACTCTGTCTCTCCGGATTCTATTTCGGTTTATCTCTAATATAACCACATTGGTTTTGCTTTCAAAAAAAAAGTATTATTATTATTATTATTATTATTATTATTATTATTATTATTATTATTATTATTATTATTATTATTTTATTATTATTATTATTATTATTATTATTATTATTATTATTATTATTATTATTATTATTATTATTATTATTATTATTATTATTATGACATTTCAGTCATTGTATCACTTATTCCCTTTTAATTACATGCCTTATTCCTACATACCAAACACTGTAATTTGAATTCCTACTCTATTCTCATCTTATTCTTTTCCCAACGAATTACAATTCATTTCCCCCTAATTCCTTCCTTCCAACCAAACACCCCGTAAAAGCCTCAAGTCTCAACTTCCACCTTTCCCATCGATGTGGGAAAAGTAGAAGAATAAGGGGAGCCGTGCGGCTCATCTTATTATTTCTTATTCTTCTTTTTTTAATTAAAAATTTATTGTTTTAATTTAATAATAATAATAATAATAATAATAATAATAATAATTATTATTATTATTATTATTATTATTATTATTATTATTATTATTATTATTATTATTATTATTATTATAACATAAATTTAAAAAAAAAAAAAAAAAAAAAAAAGGAGCCAAATATACGTATATCCTTTTAGGTCATTTTACATGTTAACCGCTAATTTTACCAAACATCTTTTTATAAACCACTAATACAATCCGTTGGTCAAATCCGCTAACATAAATCGCTATTTGCTAACCGCTAACACCATCCGCTAACCGCTATTTGCCAAACAAGCCCTATATCTATATATATGAAGAAGAAATCGTGTAACAAATGGCTTAATGGGATTCTTATATGTACAAATGGTATTTCAAACTTGGAACGATCATGAAGAAATTTACGATATGTGGTTCACTTGATATGTAATACATTTAGTATTGCACCATTCCCAGTGGTGCAATATGTGTTAGTGTGTGGTGCATGATGGGGAATATTCTTACCTACACATACTGTATACTTGCTCGATATTAGGTTAGGCAACCGAGAGGAATCGATCCCGACCTTGACCGACCTAAAGATTAACCAACCCGACCTGAGTGGGAAGCCCGAGTAAACGCCTCTTCATTATTATACTTCATTCCGCCTCAGGGTGGACCCACGACCTTCTTAGGTTGGGAAGTTCGCCCCGAGCTAGGCTACTTTAGAATTGCTACCCAGGTTCCCCGCTTTGCACCGGTGACATCACTTGGTGCTGCTTAGGAATATCGCAACACGTGGGCAACGTAGCGTTGCTCCCTAGCTAGCCGACTACATGTGCAACATGTATCGAACATGTCGAGAACCCATCATGTGTTTCCTTCCCTCTATAAATACAACATTTAATGCGAGGATGTGAGACTTTCTGGCATCCTCACACACCACATCTTAGCCCGGAACTCTCTAACCTCATGTCGTGACCGAGCCTAAGACTTAAACCAACAAGCAGATTGTAAAAAGACCTGAATACGGTTTGACCCATTGAGTCGTACATATTTGGGACATTGCAACATATTTACAATATCAGTGCACTTTGAGAGATACGTGATGCACTTGATTTGTAGTTGTAACAACCCAAATTTTTATTTTATAAATCCAATTTTAAGAAATTCCGAAAATAGCCATTTTCACTCCATTAAAATTTTTTGCGATCAATTGGTGTTTGAATAAACTATTTTTGTCACATTTAAATTAATTTGACACCAAAACTTATTTTATCCGAAATTCCTAAATTTTTGGGTACTTCGCGTACCAAGTCTTAAATCGAGAAATCAATCTGAGTGAAATCGGGAGAATTCAAAAAGACTTTAAACAAGGTTTCATTTAGATAACTTTTTGAGAAAATTCATTTTCAATCCCAAAGTATTTAAAATAGCAATTCTAGCCCGTGGCTCATGATGCTATGTGAACCACTTCATTCCAAGAAAGCCTTTGCCTGAGAACATTTTCTAGCCAATTCTTACCATTTTGCCCTCACCCAATCATTTGCTTTCTACCTAGGATTTTGCACCCTATATAAATAACACTATTCATTTGTGATCCTTTTATCTCCAACCTTGCCTCTCCCCAAATCCTTGTCTGATAGAAGCAAGAGAGAAATTTGCAGTGGTGAAGGAGGTGGTGTTTGAGTAGAGAGGAGGTAGAGATCCATACAA